TTCTATAAAATGCTATAGTTAATTATTTCAAACTAATTTCTAGCTAAGATAGGTTGAAGAATACCTAAGGTGATAGTCATAGCATTAAGTAAAGCATGTAGTTTAAACATATCCTTATAAGAGCCATTTATTAATAAAAAGATTAATATCTGGAGGTTGTATTGTTATTAAAGAATTATTTGAAGAAGTAAATGTATTAGGAAAGCTAGATTTTGTATATTTAGCTTTGGTAGTAATATTTTGAGAGAGTTCCTATTGATGTTAATAAATATTACAAATAGACTATAGCTCTTGGCAGTACCAAGATAAAAGATTGTTAGATAGATTAATGAGAAAAGAGTTATTTTGTTTGTTAAGTAATATTTTGATATTATTATATATAATATATAAAAAGGTACTAGTAATTGCATATAGTATAGAAAGATAATGTAGATTTGAAGAGTTGGCAGTGAAATTTAGTAGAATATTAAGAAGTGTATTTAAAAAATTATTAGAGATTTGAAGAGTTGTTAGGGTTGTTTAAATTATATTAATAAGTTTGTAAGTAAGATTAATATTATTGCTTGAACAAGAAAGAAGGTGAAAAGTGTTTTCAAGACTAGAACATCAAGAACATGCTGATGTATTAAAGAGGTGAGGATAGCGAATATTGATGTTTTCTATAGTAGAAAGATTGTTTGTAAAAATTTTAATATAAAAAGAGTATTTGAATATATCATGTTCTAGAGATTTAAGTATTTTAAAATTTAAAGCACATTTTATTTTTGAAATATCTTTGATAAGCTTTAGTGTAGACTAATTTGAAAGTTCTTGAATTGTAATAGTATTTTTAATAAAGATACATATTTTAAATAGTATAAGATAGTTGTTTTATAGAAAATGGTTTAAAAGAAATGGAAGAGAAAATAAGATAAGAGCTTTGTAACATCCTCTTTTAGCAAGTAAGTCAGCCTGATTATGAAAAAAATTGTTAGAGTGGAATTTAACTTTGTGAAGTTGTATAAGATAGTTTATAGAAGAAATAATATTACAATTTTTGTTTTGTATAAGTTTGGTAGGGAGGAAAGATTGTAAATTTTTGATTGCAGTTTTGTTGTCAAGATAAATATTAATAGAAGAGTTAAATGGTAAAGTAAGAAGAAGACTAAAGATTGCTTCTAGTCTGATGCTAATAGAGTCAGAATATGAGTGAATTTTAGCATTAAAGCAAATAGAGGCATGAGATTTGCAAACCCATTCTATACTAGTTTGGATATTTGAGGATTGGATATTTTTAATAGAACCATTTATATAAAATTCTAAAGTATTGTGATTATGATTATTTATAAGGTGAAAGAGTTGAATTAATTGATTTTAGTAGATAGGTAAATTTACAGTTTGTTGGATGAGTTAAACTTCATAAGAAGGTATATTTAATTAGGATTGAGAAGGTAAAGTAGTTAAAGCTAATGTATAATTATTAATATAAATAAGAGCTAAAATTTCTTAATAATCGATTTGTAATTGATTATCATAAAACTTGAGTTGATTATAAGGAAGTTTAAAAGAGTGAAAAGTTGGTAAAAATGGTAATATAGAGGAAGTAAGATAAGACCAGGTATTAAATTTGTAATTTTGTAGATATTGAGTTGTATAGGATTAATTTGGTGTGAAAAATAAATTTGTTGATTATTTGTATAAGAAATTTGGAAAAATAAAGAAAGATTAGAAAAAAAAGAAGGTAAAAGATCAATAGTATTAATAAAATATTTGTAGAAGGAAGATTAAGAAAAGGCCAGGTTGTAGATATAGTATTTGTTTGATTAAGTTAAGAAATTTGTATAAACCATAAAGGTTGACGGCCTTTAGTTGGTTTATTTGTAATAAATAAATATTGTTTTATGGAAGAAGTTTAGTGTTATCAGCAATTGTAATTTGTTTAACAAAAAGTATTTTATTATTTCTTAAATTATTTAAAGTTAAAAGGGGTAGGTTTAGAGAAAGGATATTATAAATTGTAAGTAAATTTTTAGTGATGTTTGTGGAATAAGGTAAGATTTGTGAGTAATTAGAGAAGAAAATTTTATGTTTGGCTAATTGTAAAAGGTGAAAGATTTTAAAAAGTATTTATAAGTAATCTGTTATATTAAATACTACTAGACTAACTCAAATGATTTTGTTAAACTACTACTCTATATATAATATTACTAATCTAATAATATCTTCTAATAAAAAAGTGAAAGAAAAAATACTAATACTAAAACTAATAAAAAGAATATGAATAAAAATTAAACTACTGTAATTAAATAAGGTAATATAGTTAAAAGAAAATAAAATAAAAAATTATAAGAATATAATATCAAGTTTATTAGTAAGCATCTTTGTATAAAATTTTTAAACATGTTCAATAAGATTAATAGGTTATATAAGATTAAAATTATTATTAAAAGTATTTACTTGAAAATAAAATTGATTTAGTTATGCTTTTATTGTTTTGATAAATAAATAGTAGTAAGATATTATTTAAAAAAAACAATTAGAGCTTGAATACATATTATTAAAATATTTAAGCATTTTATAGCTTATAATAGTAGGATTACAAGCTTTATTATTTGGAAGTTTTGCAATAGTATAAAGAACTTTATTATTTGTATTGTTGTAATAAGACTATTATACTAATCAAAATTGATATTTAAATATGATATATATTGTTGATATTAAAATTTGAGAATAGTAATTGATTAATAGGTTTATATACAGACTAGTTTTCAAATATATTTAAATATACTGTTTAATAAATAAGATTTACTAATATTATTAAGCAGTTTAATATTTAAAAATTTTATAGATGGATAGTCTCAATTAAAAAGAATATTCTATAAAATAGATAAGCAATATAAGTAATAAGCTTCACTAATAATTAATAATCATTAATTTTTAATAGTAGAGTTGTAGAGTTTGTGAAGTTTGCTCACCTATTCTATAGAATATTCATACCTATCTTTATATTGAATGTCACTTTATATATACTATAGCTGATTATTATAAAACCATTCTTAAGATACATTTTTTTAATCAATTAATGACTGTAATTGCAATTAAATAATATATTTATATTGATGCATTAGTAGTTTATCACGGTTTGCAATTCGCGAACTGTAACCCACATTATAATCAACCACGATTACCGCTTATTGTCGTATTGTGCGATTGCGACTTCTTATTTAATATTAAAAATACCTTCAATAGGTAATACAGTAATACAGTAAGTAATAAAATGTTCTGATCCGTTGGATATTAGCAGAAACGAAGTTTCAATTCCAAACTGGTACGATCATATGTAATGTGAGAGTGATGGTTTCATTCAACTTCCCAGTTAACTATATTTTTTCTATTTTAGAAATATATTATATTATGAATAACAGTTATTTTATATTTTTTAGAATAGGAGTTAAGATTAAATTAAATCATGTCACAATTATTTCATGGCGTCGTGTGAGAACATTATCTATATTATTAATTCAGAAGCTGTGCATTTTGACATTTTTGGTTGGTTGTAATAAGTTATGTTATTGATTGGATAAATCGGTCACTATAGTTATAACTAGTAATGTGCATCATACGCATGGGAATATTTCGGAGCTTTCGGAACATTTCGGAATCATAATTCTGGTCCGAATTAGCAGCAAGCTACCATAATGCAGGCCAGAATTCTATAATGCGGGCCAAAATTCCATGTGCATGAAATTGAAAAAATGCTAATTTACACATCACTAGTTAACATAATTACCGAACATTAATATGACTGAAGGTTTTTGATCACAGCACTCTTCGATCAGATAACTTTATTAGACAAAGACGAAAAGCATGAGAATCCTGTTCGCTATTTCGTATTCTCTACTATAAAAAATACGGATAAACTTTAGCATAGGTGGGTAAATATAATAATTATACATTTGATATAGAAATTCAAATAATTTCGCTATTTGTGATAATTTCGCTAACTTATAAAAAATTAATTTAACAGACTTATTATTGAAATAATTATTTATTTGATGGAATGGGCATAATTTGAATATTTTTATTGGCGATAGTTTTAATATCCTTTTCGAAAATCAAAAATTTCATCTTCATTACAGTATGAGATTTAATTGATGTGGTATATAATACATATATATAACAGACAAATAATGACACAAATAACACAAATCAAATAATAAATCACAAGTTATTCATATTGGATTTTGAGAATAGGTCGGATAATTTCACTAAATAACATGGTATTAAATAACGGATCGAATATTTTTAATAAGTGTTATATCTAGGGTTGGAAAATAACGTAATTTTACATAAGTTTGTGTAAGTTTCTGAAATCAAAATTACATGTAACTTTGATCATGTAAATAATTTGGGCCAAAATTTTTTTGTAAAGCTAACATAAAAATAATATAAAATTAAAGTTCCGAACACAATGATGGATATCTATTAATGCCGGCAAAACTTTTGTGATCTAGTGCAATTATCATGTGAAAATGCACTAAATATTGTAAAGTTACATTACAGTTTCGTAAGTTACAATGTAATTTCATATAATGAAATTTTAATTTTGTGTAATACAACCCTAGTTATATCCCCGTCATTTAATGATGGTTGCGCCGTTTTACGGTAAATTTGGCTGCAATTTTCTGAACCGGTAAATTTTTTCCACAGATCTCATAAGAAACATAAAGGTCTTTGGCATTATAAGTAGAGCAAATTGTCTATTTGAGAGCTTTCTGTCAATATCATTTTTGGTAGTTTATAGCCTTATTATCTTTATTAAATTCGTTTACTTTGGGGTCTTATAGAATTCATGTGATTTGTGCAAGAATTAATCGATCATTCTTTGACCCACATCGGATTTTATGCATATTATATTAACGATATATGATTTGGAGATAATAATGTGACTTTTAACTAAAATTGCTGGATATCTGCGCTCAGGCAAATTTGTCAGCAAAGATCCTATGTTTTAAGGGAAAATGTCAGTAGGAACATTTGTAGATCCTACCAGTGTAAGAGTGATCGACTCTAAAGCACAATCTACGTAACAAATTTATTATAAGATTTGTAATGATTATGTGGCAACTTAGTGCCTGATGATCACAATTGTTACACAATGTACCCTGGAGACGTCATAAAGATAAATAAGGTAAATCCGGTCGAAATTAAGGAAACCCCTAAAAAAAGGATATTTTAGGTGAAATTTAATTATCAAATTCAATCATCAAAATTACTAGCCGTCACAAGTTTGCCCGTTATTAATTATTTGATTGGATAAAATCATGCCTTAACTAATAATAGAATACGTATATCGTATGCATAATTATTTGGCTTGATCATAATTACTTCATAATGCATATACTGTTGAACATTTTTAGTGCGAAATTTATTGAATACATTATACGTAATCAGGAATATTTTGTGTTTGTGTGAGAGGAGTATGATTTTGGAAAAATTACGTTGAATGAGAATATCCTATAGGAAACAAAATTTTACTGCCCAATCGAAATTCAAAGTCAGGCCTTAATGCAAAGAAATGCAAAAATTAAAACATTCTGAGAAATCATTCATAACGTTTTATCATGAGCTGCCATTTGCGCACTAACAAAAAAGATTTTTTGTGAAATTTTTGCGACGATAAAGCTCCTTCTAATCTAATACAAAACCTAACCCTCAACTAGCGCTAAAACTTTCTCGGCAAATATTTTAGGATTGCTAATGCTAATAGAGTCCCAGGATACTTTACCGTCTGGATGAATACATTATCGAATTTGAAAAGGACAATTCTATTTTGGCATTGACATGACAAAAAGTTAAGTTTCTTTTTTTTTTTTTAGTCCATATATAGAGCTTTGAATATTTTTTTTGTTGGTGCATGAATTTAATAATTTTAATAATCACTGATCATTAAAGCCGATAATGAAAGATCATAGCAGAAGGAATTTGGCAACTAATTTTAAGATATAATATTTTATTTAACTGGTCCGAAATAATCTACTAACCTCTTATTAAAGTAAGTTACTTCATATGCCACTTTTATCAGAGTTGATTTAGCCAGTAATTATACCAATTATTTATTAATAGGATATTTAAAGTTTAATTTTTTATCATACTAATTTAGTTAATAGTTTTTATTCAAATATAGTAAAGCTCAATAAGTGCACTCTCTTTTGATCAAACTTTAGCAATGTTTATTTAGAGAACAATAAGAAAAATGCATGGATTGAAATTTGAATGTGCATTTAAAGAAGATATGCATTCAGAATACTCTTACAAAGTGTTTACTGTATAATGACTATTTATTAATTGAAGCATTTGAAATAATTCTACCGATTTTCAAATTTTCATATGTCATCGCATATTAAATTTAAGTATTAATATATAAAAAGTATACCATCGGCACTCTATAAATAAATTGTACGCCATACGGCGATCATAAAGACCAAAATACAGACAATCAATGTGCACTATTTTATTTTCCCATTTTTCTAAAAATCATGGTTCCGGGTTCGAATAGAGTATCGGTTTTGGGTCGATTCTGCAAAATAATTATAATTATAATATGTAAAGCGCTAAATTATATATAACTCTTATTAATAATTAGTTTCCAAATCCAAGTAAATACCGAAATTCAGTACGTACTTAAATAGCGAATTAAACTTGGGATCGAGCTCATTTACGTATTACCGTTATTGGTTGTGTTACACAAAGATGCAGGATTATAAAAATATTATTGTATGCTTAAAAGGCGTATTCGGAATCTTTTTCTCACTTTTTCTCACTCAAAAAGCAAAATGTCGAATTATAATAATCTATTTGATCATGAAAAATCAACTGATTTAGACCCTTTTGAACTTGGAATTAAATATCAACTTGGAATAAAAGTTAAAAAAGATAAATATATGGCATTTGCTTATTTTAAAAAATCTGCTAAAATGGGGAATGCTAGTGGTGCGTTCGAAGTTGGAAATTGTTATCTGGACGGTATTGGAGTTAAAAAGAATGAACATAAAGCATTTATTTATTATCAAAAATCTGCTGATATTGGACACAATAGGGGAAAGTTTACAGTTGGGTATTGTTATTATAATGGAATTGGTGTTGAAAAGGATGAACATAAGGCATTTATTTATTATCAAAAATCTGCTGAGATGGGGAATACAAATGGAATATTTAACGTTGGTTCTTGTTATCTTAATGGAATTGGCGTTAAAAAAGATGAAAATAAGGCATTCATTTATTATCAAAAATTAGCTGAGATGGGAAATGCCATGGGATTAAATCGTGTCGGAAATTGTTATGTAAAAGGAATTGGTGTTGAAAAGGATAAACATAAAGCATTCATTTATTATCAAAAATCGGCAAAGATGGGGGACGCTGAAGGAACATATTATGTTGGAGTTTGTTATCGAGATGGAATTGGTGTTGGAAAGGATGAACATAAAGCATTTTTTTATTATCAAAAATCTGCAAATATGGGAGACGCTGGTGGTATGAATGGTGTTGCTTATTGTTATAAAAAAGGACTTGGTGTTGAAAAGAATGAACATAAGGCATTCGTTTGTTATCGAAAATCTGCAGAAATGGGTGATGCTAAAGGAACATTTAATGTTGGATGTTGTTATGAAATAGGAATTGGTGTGGTGAAAGATAATCATAAGGCATTTATTCATTATCAAAAATCAGCTGAGATGGGATCTACCAATGGAACATTTAATGTTGGATATTGTTATGAAAAGGGAATTGGTGTTGAAAAGGATGAAAATAAGGCATTCATTTATTATCAAAAATCTGCAGAAATGGGGAGTTCTAAAGGAATATTTAATGTTGCATATTGTTATGATAAAGGAATCGGCGTTGAAATGGATGAACACAAAGCATTTATTTATTATCAAAAATTTGCAGAGATAGGGTACACCAGTAAAAAATATAATATTGGATATTGTTATCTTAATGGAATTGGTGTTGAAAAAGATGCGCATAAGGCATTTATCTATTACCAAAAGTCTGCAGAGATGGGAAATGCTAGCGGAACATATAATATTGGACATTGCTATCTCAATGGAATTGGAGTTGGAAATGATGAACATAAGGCATTCATTTATTACCAAAAATCTGCAGAAATGGGACATGCTAGTGGAACATTTAATGTTGGATATTGTTATCAAAATGGAATTGGAGTTGAAAAGGATAAACATAATGCATTTATTTATTATCAAAAATCTGCAAAAATGGGACACTCCTGTGGAATATTTGCTCTTGCAAACTTTTATCTTAATGGAATTGGAGTTGAAAAGGATGAATATATGGCATTTATTTACTATCAAAAATTAGCAGAGATGGAGAATGCTAATGAAACACTTAATGTTAAACATTGTTATCGAAATGGTGTTGGGATTGAAAAGAATGAACGTGAAGCATTTATTTATTATCAAAAATCTGCGGAGTTAGGGCATGCTGAAGGAAAATGTAATGTTGGATATTGCTATCAAAATGGAATTGGAGCTGAAAAGGATGAACATAAGGCATTCATTTATTATCAAAAATCAGCAGAAATGGGAAATGCTAAAGGAATATTTAACGTTGGATGTTGCTATGAAAAAGGAATTGGAGTCGAGAAGGATGAGCAAAAAGCATCCACATATTGTCAACAATCAGCAAACATGGGCTATCTTCCGGCAGTAAATCATGTTAATTATTTTTATCAAAATAAAATTAAAGAGACAAAGGACTTACAAAATGCCAATAAATGCTATTTTAAACAATTATGGGTATATTTTCTTTGTTTTATTTTATTTATAAATTGTATAATTTTTTTGATATCAAAATTTTGATATTTATGTATATGTATTACAAAATAGATATTATTTTACTTGTTCTTAATAAAAATAAATCTTATCGTACTATATATATATCTTTGTATAGAAAATTTTTCTCAAATTGTTTTTCGAAAAAATATAATACTAACTAAATTACGTTATAAAAATTATAATAAAATTTGAGCATACATCAAATTCGTTCAAGAATTAAAATATGGTGCGAGTAAGGATGGCTCCGAAAGTATTTTGGCGTGCCGAAAGTCATGTCGAAATCGAAAGTCATATCGAAAGTCCTACCGAA